ACAGGACTCTGTTTATGGATTTTTATCTAGAAACCACGAATTTACTTGCTTCTCTCAGGGGACGTAGAGAAGCAGGCATTCAGTTGGCAAATAATGACAATCTCTACAATGACCTTAAATGGGTCTGTCTTAATTCTGCGCAGGATCCATCCAACGAGTAGCCTTTCTCATGAGGATTTGTTGCATCTGCAACAATCCAGAGAGGTCTCTGGATTGGAAAAGTTCATTATTAGAAAAAATAAAACATTCTCGTATGCCCCTAAGGACTGCATCACTAGTGGAGGCAGAAGATGTCACAGGTGGCTGAGGGGGCTGTGGAAACTGTGGGATGTGGGTGCAGAACTGATTACAAAGACATAAACATCAGAGGGGTCTGATAAAACCTCCTAATTACCTGTGATCCACTCTAAGTCCAATAAAGCCGCTGATGCCTCCCTGAGCCAAACCTGCCCATCAGGGGTCAGTCCCGGGTCCCAGCAGCAGATGCGCCTCAGTGTCTCCACTGTGTGTAGTCACTGCCTGGAGGAGCTCCCAGGACACGTGTCTTTGCATTAACCAGGTCATGGGTGTCAGAGATCAGATCTGGGAACCTGGTCTATGGGTTCCCTGACGGTGGAGAAGTGGAAGGTGCAGTCCCAGGGCCAACACACCGTCCATGCATTTTTATATGGAAACCATGATTTTTCTTGCTTCTCTCAGATGACATAGAGGAGCAAGAAGACGGTCTTCAAACAACTGCAGTGTCCACATTTCTCCTGAGTAACTGCGTTATGTCTGAGTCTGAGTGTGGGTTCAGCAGAGCATGGGCTTTCTCTTAAGAAACTGCTCAATCCCAGCTGAAGCCACGTGGTTATCACACTCCTTTGTTTTCGTTCAGCTTCAGAGATCCTGAGTAGAGCAGATCTGGTCCTTTTCCCAGGCTAAATCTCACCTTCCTCAGATGAAAAGCAGAGATTTCTCCGACTGTGTCTGAGGTGGGAGCTGCTTCTCCACACCTTAGAGCTTGCAGAGACCCCCGAGGGCAGCTTTATGGAGTCAGGTGTGTCTCCATGTCGGGGAGCTCAGCTGCCAGTGATTCTGCTCAGTTAGAACTGTGGGTTCAGATTTAGAGCATTTAAATTATCATGTCTCAAAAATTACCGTCATTATAGATAGAAATAATAATATGACACCAATTGTCACATTTATTATTATTATGGGAGTGTACCTTGGAGGACAATACTGCTACCATAAATCTGCATAAATCTAGTGTCAGAATCTCCTGAAATGGTCTAGAACACTTGCAAACTGCACAGAAGCAGATTCTTCTTTTTTTCTATGCTGCTGTGTTTTAAATTGTTGATAGTTTGTCCAGAACCCATGAGCACCAACAACTGTGTGTTTCATGCCCCTTCTTGAGTCCTGCAACAAGGAATGCCATTAGTACCTGGCAGATTGAGACAACATTGAACAATGTCAGAGCAATCATCTGTAAGTGCTTCTAAATTTCAGCTTTATCAATTCTAACACTTTCTCTATTATTTCCGATCTTGGTTATTAAAGGATTCTCGCTTTTTCTCTTAATCTAGATAAGAAGTTGTCTGGTTTTTTTGGGAAAAAACTTTAGATTTGTTGATTTTTCTGTAGTCTTATAAAGTCTCTTTTTAGCTTATTTCATTTAAGCTAAAGTCTCATAAGCACATTGACTACATGCAGATAGAGAACTTGTTTGTAAATGCCATGTTTTTGTTGGACTCAGCGGAGCATGTCAGGAAGCCCCCTGAGGGTTTTAGGGACTGAGTGTGGCCCCCACACTGGAGAAGGATGAGAACCTCCAAGCTCTGGGGATGGGAGATAGGTGGGCAATGTGAGGGAGGAGGGTGTCCGGAAGGTCCAGCGTTTCTTCCCCTGGTGGCACCACTTATATCTGTCCTCATTCTGAGATTCAGTCATTTCTGTCCAGGTGGGAACATCACTTAACTTCATCTCTGATAGATGGATGGGAGCCCAAGACAGAGGCTTGTCAGTCGCTGTTTCTGTGCCTGCTCCCTTGGGAATGTCCACATTTCTTATGCTCTATCCTGGGTCTATACCCCGATGGCTCACCTGCTCCACGACACCACCTGTTCCTGTGCATGGCCCCTGCACACACCCTCCGTGAAACATCCTCTTAGCTCAGGAAGAGTCCCCTGCCTTGTTTTTTCCTGCCACTGGTCCACATTCTTATCCATCCGCAGGCTCTGAGCAGCGCCTCCCATCCACGCTGAACCTACGTGGGGTCAGACCTTGTCCACCACTTCCTCTCTCCTTCCTTCTGAGCCTTTTATCCCAGCAGCCTGTTTACATCTCACCTGGACTTGTGTACAGGAAAGGTTTACCGAGCAGGCTTGGGGTGTTCAAACCCTGAACATTCCTGAAAATGTCCTTTCTCAAGCCAGGTCCGCATCCAGCTCCTGGGAGATGATATCTGTTTTTCTGGCATACTCTCCTGGTAATATTTTGAAGCCAATTTATTAAGGAAACGTTTACATCTATAAAACTATACAGTAATTAACATACCTCATTGAGTTTGGAGTAAGTGTATACCTGCAAAGTTATTACCACCATCAAGGTCGTAACCACAGCCATCACTTCCAAAGCATTCCTGTATTCCTATTATTACTATTATTATTAAAAATTGTGTGTGTGTGCGTGTGTGTGTGTGTGTATCCTGGGTGCACAGTATCCTAACTGTTCCATAATGACTTATGGTGAGTGCCCATCGTTGCTGAAGGAGCTCTTGTCTGAGTGCTGGAGGTCAGGTATGCAGGTGCCACACACATCTGTGAAGGGCCTCAATAAACAGCACTGGGCACCAGCACTCAGGTGAGCTTCCCTGTGAACAACGCCTCACATGTGCTGTCATTCATCACCGCTGGGAGAAATGGGGACAAGAGACTCCTCAGGGAAAGAACACCTGGGAGCTCATGCCAGATTATTAGAACCTTCCTCCTGAAGCCCTTGCTCATTAAAATTCATATTCCTCTGCTAAAGTCAAGCTGTACCCATGAGAATAACAGCTTGTCCTGGGTCCTTCATTTGTACCCATTATGGGTCCTGAGGATGGTTTTGGGACACTCAGCACAATTACATCAGAGGTGGAAATTGCTAGAAAGACCGTGATGACTGACACATGGCTAGAGCCTTGTTTATAATATCAAACGATGAGAAAGGGTGGCATAAAAGTCATCCAATACCTGGATGGTTACTGAGTCACATGGCATAAGATGGCATGTGCACTCCAGTAAGGAGCAGGAAGAAAAGGGAATCCATGGAAATTTGAAATGATAGACACAGCTCTCTAGGAAGTGATCCCCGAATAAGGAAAAGTAAAATAAAGGAGAAAAACCTGACTATGCAACTCATATCTGTGACAGCTAAAATGAAATACAAAGATGCCGCATCCAGCCCTGCACTGTGCCCTGTGAGCCAAGGCTTCTAGACTCCCCTCCACCACCATCGAATACAGTTGTCCAGAAAAAAAAACACACAACACACAGTAGCCACACAGAAGGCAGCCCAGGGGTTGGGCTGGGCAGGGGAACCCACTAGAAACCTAGAACAAGGAAAACAGTGTGGAAAGTGGCATCGTTTTGTGATACAATTAATATCATTAATTACTCTCATCAGAACGTGAAAAACATTAGCCAATGGACTGCGACTGGCTGACATAGCAGATTCTGTTTGGCTTCGTGTGCTGCAGAAGGGAGGGGCATGTCTGGGAGGAGGCTGGATCCACAGCTCGAAACAGTAACATCACACATGACTTTAGCTGATCCCAACCTCCCGTGGGATGCTTTGGATGGGACAGCTTTCCCAGTGCACTGGATCCCAGATTGTGTAATTTCTCTGCCCGGAGGATGAGTCTGCTTTTCCCCTCTTTGAAATACAAAGTGGGCTCTGCAGATGGGGAGGCTGATGCTGCACATTCTGCATCACCTGCTGCTGGGAGTTTCTGGTGATGCTGATGGTCATTGCTTTGCCTGCACCTTACACAGGTCGTGGCCTGTGCTGTGGTGAAGAGAAGTCCTTTTGCTCTGCTCCCCAGGTGCAATTCCTGTGAATAACCTTGCAAACATTTTAGAACCTGTGCAGTTTCTGTCACCTTGGCTTTCCATTTGGATCAGAAGATGCTAAGGAAATAAGTGTGCTTCACAAGAAAATGCTGCAGACACAGGGGAGAGTTAAGGGCCTCCAAGCAATGTGGGTATCATAAAATAAAAGGCAAAGAATGAAAGAACTCGACAAGAAGGAGCTGGGGTTGACACAAAGGACTTAAAGCAGCACTGCCAAAAGTGGGTGTAGCCATGGGAATCCCTTCAGTTCCATCAGCAATTCAGAGACCCAAACAAGTCTCCCTATTTATGTTGAATTGGCAGAGTGTAAAATCTAGAAGACAAAATGACCAGGAAAGATGTGTGATTTTGCGTGGGTGAAGGTCTGACAAGTTAATGAAGCTGAGGACTGTTGTGGGTCTGGGGTTGTCCTGCCCTTACTGTGTGCCCAGGCCAGAGTCACAGTCATGGGAAATTGCCAGGGAATAGAGTAGTTTTTGGTTGTTCTTGTTATCAGGCGTATGTGCATTTGAATTTTCTCTTCATGGCCTCTGGTTTTACTTCTAATTTTTAAATGCGCATAGTTTCATCTAGATTTGCCAGTTTCTCAATGTCACAGAGAGGAGTGGAAGAAGGGATGCCCTTGTATGGCTCTTCCTGAAGCACGGACAGAGTGGGAGGGGCACGAGGAGCATGTAAGGAATTATTCAGACCTTGTTCTGCCTCTCCCCGGAGGAACAGTCGGCCTTTTGTCTGCAATCGCGTTTCTGGGTTATAAACCCTGTAGACTCATCCCTTCAGGCCAGGGCGTCAACTATGCAAATTCAAGTGGGGGCTCCCCTCTTAAACCCAGGGCTCCCCTCCACAGTGCGTCTCCCTCACCGCCCAGCTGGGATGTCAGGGCTTCCTTTCCTGTCCTCCTCCAGGATGGGGTCAACCACCATCCTTGCCCTCCTCCTGGCTGTTCTCCAAGGTCAGTCCTGCCCAGGGTTTGAGGTCACGGAGAAGAAGGGTTTGAGTGCACAGGGAGTCCCTGATTCAAATGTTGTGTCTCCCACACAGGTGTCTGTGCCGAGGTGCAGCTGGTGCAGTCTGGAGCAGAGGTCAAAAGGCCCGGGGAGTCGCTGAAGATCTCCTGTAGGGCTTCTGGATACAGCTTTAACAGCTACTGGATCAGCTGGGTGCGACAGATGCCCGGGAAAGGCCTGGAGTGGATGGGGAGGATCTATCCTGGTGACTGATACCAGATACAGCCCGTCCTTCCAAGGCCACATCACCATCTCAGCCGACAAGTCCAGCAACACCGCCCACCTGCAGTGGAGCAGCCTGAAGGCCTCGGACGCTGCCATGTATTACTGTGCGAGAGACACAGTGTGAGAAACCAGCACTGGGCCCATCTAAAACCCTCCACAGGGCAGGTGCAGAGTGAGCCGCCAGAGACACCCTCCCCAGGGCCCTCTCCATTCCCCCCAGGGAGGAATCACTGGCTGTTTGTGTCCTCAGGAGCAAGAACCAGACAACAGCATGAGAGGGTTCCCAGCCCCTACGGCAACTGGATGGGGGACCTCTCCTGGGAGTGGATTATCTGAGAAGCCCCCACTGTGTGTTCTAGAAGGTTGTTCATGGCTTATATTACACAGTTAACATCAAAAGCCTGCCTAATAGGCAGCTGTCAAGTATGACAGTCTTTTAATTCATGAAGATTTTACAGTTACCCATTGCTGGCTTGCTCTTCTCCCTCCTGTCCTCTCTCACACCGTCCTTTTATTTCCTGCTCAATTTTCCCGAATCGTTTAATCCCGTTTTGAACTATTAGTGGGTCCTCTTGTTTGGTTGTTTTTGTTGTAGTTTCCTCTCAACAATGTGTAATGAACAGTTCATTTTGCACCATTACAAGTTTTGGGTATAATAAGGACTTCTTTCATGAAAATATGATAAATTCAAATAAACAGATAAATTTTAAAAAACATATAACCCATCAAAACTGAACCATTAAGAAATAAAAAATCTGGGCTGGGTGTGGCAGCTTATGCCTGTAATCCCAGCACTTTGACAGGGAGACAGGTGGATCACCTGAGGTCAGGAGTTTGAGATCAGCTTGGCCAGTGCAGTGAAACTCTGCCTTTACTAAAAATACAGAAATGAGCTGGACATGGTGGCGCTCACCTGTAATCCCAGCTACATGGGAGACTGAGGCATGAGAATCACTTGACCCAGGACGCGGAGGTTGCAATGAACTGAGATCACACCACTGCACTCCAGCCTGTGAGTGAGACTCTGTCTCAAAAAAAAAAGTGAACAGACCAATGAGTAAAGAGATTGAGTCACTGATTTTTTAAACATCTCAAAGCAAAGAAAAATCACGAACTTGATGATTTCACTACTGAATTTTATCAAATGTTTAAAAAAAACTAGGATCTCCATTCAAATTTCCAACAAAATAAAGAGGAAATAATACACCTAAATTTATTTTGGAAGGCTCTATGTCCAAAGAAGAGAAAAGACACTACCAGTAAATAAAACTACAGATGAATATCCGTGATTCACAGAGTTTCAAAACTTCTCAAAGTGATGAGGAACAAAATTCAACAGCACATTAAAACGTGATTCACCACGATCAGGTGTGGTTACTTCCACCATGCAATGAAGGTTCAGCCTGCACAACCCAGTGTGATGGATCAAATTAAAACACTGAAGGACTAAACCTGGATGTTCACGTCGATAGATGCAGAAAGAGCCTCTGACAAAATTCACCAGTCTCATTATAAAAGTCTGAACAAGTTATGCATAAAAGGTATATACCTCAACACTATGGAGGCCACATATAACAAGCCCACATCTAACATGACACTCAACGATGAAAATTTTATTTCCTCTAGGACTACAAAGTATAGAAGATGCTCACAATCTTATTTTATTTTATTTATGTATTTATTTTATGTATTTTATTATCTGTCAATTAACACTTATAAAATTTATTATACGTAAACAACTTAATTATAGACAAGAAAGGAATGATAGGAAGGAACAAATAAACATGTTAAATGTCAGGTAAACTTCAACATTTATCTGCCTGAACTTTGTCTCCATATTTCTCAGTAAATGCAGCAAAATCACACAGGATCTCAGGGCAGGAAGTGAATTCTCCAAACCACACAAGGCCCATTTAGCTCGGTCCTAGAGTTGATTAAGAGCAATCGAGGCCAGCTGTGAGGAGCATGGTCCCGGATACTGGGATTCACTCATGGCAGATATGAGCCCTTAGACACACCACGTAGCCCTCCATGTGTGGGTTCACTTTTACATCTGTAAATGAGGAAAACACTGACTTCTAAATAACACCATTTGTACACATAAGTAAACATAATTAAAAATGTGATAGTTGTTAAATGTTTATCTGAACAATTTCACAATAAGACAGCACATTTTTCCAAATACAATCATTGTCATCTAAATCCCCCAGGACAGTCTCATCTGCTCTGGGACCTGCCCTCTCCTCAGGCGTCCTGCCCCAGAGCTTGCTATATAGTAGCAGACGTGCAAAAAGGGCCCTCCCTCTCCTGATGAAAACCAGCCCAGCCCTGACCCTGCAGCTCTGGGAGAGGAGCCCCAGCCTTGGGATTACCAGGTGTTTCTATTCAGTGATCAGCACTGAGCACAGAGGACTCAGCATGGAGTTTGGGCTGAGCTGGGTTTTCCTTGTTGCTATTTTAAAAGGTAATTCATGGAGAAATAGAGAGACTGAGTGTGTGTGGACATGAGTGAGAGAAACAGTGGGTGTGTGTGGCAGTTACTGACCAGGATGTCTCTGTGTTTGCAGGTGTCCAGTGTGAGGTGCAGCTGGTGGAGTCTGGGGGAGGCTTGGTTCAGCCTGGGGGGTCTCTGAGACTCTCCTCTGCAGCTTCTGGATTCACGTTCAGTGACTACAGGATGTACCGGGTCCGCCAGGCTCCGAGTAAGGGGCTGGAGTGGGTGGCCAACATAAAGTATGATGGAGGTGAAAAATACTACGCAGACTCCGTGAAGGGCCGATTCACCATCTCCAGAGACAACACCAAGAACTCTCTGTATCTGCAGATGAACAGCCTGAGAGCCGAGGACACGGCCGTGTATTACTGTGCGGGACACAGTGAGCGGAAGTCAGTGTGAGCCCGGACACAAACCTCCTGCAGGGGCGCCTAGAACCAGCAGGGGGCGGTCGGGATACACAGAGGACGGGGCAGCCCAGGGCAGGTGCAGGTGCAGGTCAAGGGCTGCTCCCCTTCAGGGCCTGTGGCTTCCTCTGCATCTAACGTTCCCTGGGAGGGTCTGTGTATTTACAGTTATGTCCCTGCTACTGAGGCTTCTACGTTTGTGAAGTTTATAACTATAGGAGCAGCCATGACCAAATGCCCCAAGGCAGGTGCCACTGAGGGAGAAAGAAAAGTGTGCAGGAGGCCGGGTGAGGCTGTGGACACTGTCCGCCCAGGATTCAAGTTTCACAAGCAGAGAAGGGGAAATGGGGAATTCGATGGGGCTCCCCAACCACCACGAGGTGCACAGTAAGTCCAGTATGGCCAGGAGCCCCCCTGGGCTATAGGTGCCCATCAGGGATCAGCCGTGTGCCCCGCAGTGCGTTCCCTGATGGTGGAGAAGCGGGAGGTGCAGTCCCAGGGCCAACACACCGTACATGCATTTTTATATGGAAACCATGATGTTTCTTGCTTCTCTCAGATGACATAGAGGACGTCTCCTTATTGGAAATTACTCTTAATTTATCTCTTAGAATCATTGTTTCCAGAGCCCTGGCCACCCAGTGCGCCCCACGGAATGGGGCGGTGCCGGGCTGACCCCAGAGCCAGCTGCCACATCTTCCACGACGGGAGCAGATGCAGACGTGGCAGAGAGAGAGCATGAGACGCCTGGTCTGATGGCGCCGGAGACAGAGCAGCCATTTCTCGCCAGAGCCCATGGCTTCCAGATCGACCCCAACATCAGGAAGAACTGGATCCTGCGAGCTCAGCGGTCACCGTTTCCTCCTTCTATGACGTCACAGGAACCGCTGTCAGATCGTCAGCGTGGGCGGAGCCAAGGCGACCATCAACAGCACAATCACACCAAATACGCCCTTCCCCAAAACGCCACAGAAGTCTGGGCAGGGCCGACAGCGGAGCCCACACGGTGTTTGCTTTGGGGTTTTCCTCTGAGCAGCAGCTGACAACGTTTGCAGAGAAATTCCAGGAGCTGGAGGAAGCTGCCGAGATGCCCAAAGAAAAGGCCCTGGAGAAAACCGAGACCTGGAGTTACGGTTCCCAGTGATCTGGGCGTGAAGCCCCATCTGCGGCTGCGGCATCCAGTGTCGAGGGCGGCGATAAAAAGGCCTCTCAGCCGCGGCAGCCGACACGCACCGGAAGTCTGAGAAGGAAGCGCTGAGATCGCCGTGATGCAGAGCGCGGCCACCGCGCAGGAGCGGAAGCTGCCGCTGCAGCCCCTGAGGAGAGCCACGCCCCGCGGACCAGGGCGCTGCAGGAGGCGGCGGCCAACGCGGAGCCCGGAAGAGGCTGGGACACCAACAGGGAGGAGCAGAAGAACACGCAGCTCAAGAGGAGGATGGAGGAGCTGGAGGCGGAGCTCCGAGCACAGGAGACGGAGCTGAAAGGTCTCTGAAAACAAAGTGAAATCCCACCTCAGCTCCTGTCAGAGCGCGGCTGTGTCTCTGAGAAGCTCCAGGAGGCTGAGAGAATGAAAACCCGGAAGACAGAGGTCGCTCCCTAAAGACACTGAGGACAGCAAGCGCCCACAGCGCCACCTGGAGGTGGAGGCGAACAGCTTCCCAGAACTCCTGGACCGGAAGTTTGATGACCCACCAGATTTCCGCCCACACCTCTGGATCCCCACCACACATAACTAGAGCTGGCTAGGCCTGGGCCCGCCCTTGAGTCCCACACGTGTGTGTGAGACCAGACAGCACTAGGTCGTTCTCCTGTGTGTTCTTATGTAAATGGAAGATTCTGACTCAGGAATCCAAAACTAGGTTTACATTAAACATTTAGGCAGTCAGGACAGGGATATGTATATCTTTCATAAAGGCTGTTTGCAACCATGCAAACTGAAAAAAAGGTGTATTTTTTTTTTTTCCTCAAGTTGTAGCCTTGCTCTATTGCCCAGGCTGGAGTGCAGTGGCACAATCTCGGTTCACTGCAATCTCTACCTCCTGGGTTCAGGCAGTTCTCCTGCCTCAGCCTCCCAAGTAGCTCTGATTAATCCAAATATTGATATTCTTTAGAGGAGGCCATTGGGCTCCTTTTATTAAATAGCATTCAGAATATTTGAATGTCCATTAGGCTCCTGCCCCATTGAAGCACAGAGACAACGATATGCCTCTCTGTCAACATTGAGAAGCTTTAAAACAACTGTTTTGTGGAGATTTATCGAGAGTTGGAAACCAAGTTTCTGGTGGGTCCATTTTCTGGCCTGGGAATCACCTGCATTAACGATATGGCCTCCTGCCCCCCAATTTTTATGGTTGCAACAATGGTTCTTGTATTGATTTTAATTTCTAAGTAGATGACTCTGGGCTGGGAACAGCTCACAGTGTGGGTGCCTAGCGCAATGCCTGGTACAAAGTGGGTGCTTAATAAATTGTTTTTCAGTTTTCAAAATAGAATTACTTTTTCCAAAGCCCCACTCAAAACCAAGGCATTATTACAGGTGTAAAAGTTGGACCAACATTGGAAATACATTTGGTTTAGTTCATGTATTCTCGAATATGCTTTTTTCTTTTAAAGTTGTTCTCAGTTGCAATATCACACAAAATATTAGTAATTTACACTAATGACATAGGTTAAAATATTGTATAATTAAGATGGTGACATTTGATTTAAAGAAATACATGTTCAACATGTCTTGACAATTTTTTCCTTCTCTGTGAAATGTATGCTTATTAAGTTTCAGATGTTACCATTATTTTTTTGATTTCTGGGATTTAATTTTAGTAGGCATACCTGAATGCATTTTATTTATATATGTAATAGTGTTTGTAGTTTGAATGATGTTTAATATTAATTTTACTATCTCTGAATTTTTAACTATAATTCTGCATTTTTTTGTTTTTATGAGATAAGATTTCCATGTAAGAAAAAATGCATAAATTTGAAATGTGTAACTGGAGAGTTTCTGTCAAATGTGAGTATTCTTGTTCCCAAAACCTAAGGTAGCCTGAAACGCAAGTCCATTCTCCCAGCTCGGGACTTTCTCTGTGCCTGCAGTCAACACCTATATTGGGGAAATGTTTTGACTTCTGATACTATACACATATGTTTTTCTCTGTTTTGAACTTTATATAAATGTAATCAAACATTATAGACCTATTTTTGAGGTTAATTCATGTTATTTAATATATAAAATTAGATCAACATATTGTCATTTATTCAATTAATGGACTTATTCTGATATGAAACCTCAATGTTTTCATGTACATATGGAAAGAGAGGGAGAGAGAGAAGAAGAGAGATTTTACATCTGAGTGAGTCCATTAAGTAAATAAATGAGAATATTTTGATTTATTTTCCTGTTAATGGATTTTAAATTTCTTTCCAGTTTATGAGTATTATAAGCAAAGCTGTTAGCAATGTCTTAGTGTATGTTTTCTTATGTTGTCTCATTTTTATTGAGAAGATATGAAGTATGTATTGCTTTATTCTAAGAGTAAATTCGATTTTTTTAGTTTTTGAGGTAAAATTGAAATATTTTAATAATATATATGTTTAAGGTGCCCCACTTGATATTTTGAACATGTATTAGTCAATTCTCACACTGCTATAAAGAAATGCCTGAGACTGAGTAATCTGAGGGGAAAAAAGATGTTTAATTGGCTCCCGTTTCTGCAGACTGTAGAAGTGTAGTGGCTTGTCCTTCTGGGGAGATTCAGGAAAGCTAGATTCGTGGCAGAAGACAAAGGGGATCAGGCACATCACATGGCCCGAGCAGGAACCACAGGAAAGGGGGCGGTGTCTACACACTATTGGACAATCAGATCTTGTGAGAACTCACAAACCGTCATGAGAACAGCACCAGGATCTGGTTCCAAACCATCCATGAAATAACCACCCCATGGCCCAGTCATCTCCCAGCAGGTCTGACCTTCACAATTGAGGATGATGTTGCAACATGGGATTTGGGACAGGACACAGATCCAAATCGTACCAGACACACATCGTGAAAGGCTCATCATGGTCAAGGTAATTTGTGTATCCCTCTTCTTGCAGAGCTACCATTTATTCTGAGCGCGCTGCGTGTGTGTGTGTCACATGAGGACACCTAAGAGCTCCCTATTTAGCAAAAATCACGTTCACGATACAGTATTAAATACAGGAACATCGCTGTGCATTAGATCTCCAGAGGTCATTCCACCTGCACAACTAAAATTCTGCACCGTTCATCCAACATCACCCTTTTCCCTCTCCTCACAGTGCTGGGACCCACTGTTCTACTCTGTGATTTAAGAGCATGGAGATGTTAGATCCCTCATGTAAATGAGATCATGAAGCATTTGTCTTTCTGCATCTGACTTATTCCAGTTAGAATCATGTCCTCCCGGCCCATCTGTGTTGTTGCAGATGTCAGAGTTTCCATGTTTCCAAAGCCAAATAAAATTCAGCTGTATATTTATTTTACAACCCATCTGTGCTTTTGCTGATGTTTTTTCACCTGTACCATGGAAATAACATTAATGCCACATACCATGTTTTCTCTACATATGTAAAAATAAAAGATGATTTGTGCTAACTTTAAATATATGCAGTTTATACAGATCTATTGTACCACAATACAACTGTTTTAAAATAGAAATTACAAAATTATAACTTTCATAGGTTTAAGAGTTTATCACAGAACAAATTTACAATAAGAAACCACAATTTCCCAATACTTTCAATGTCACAAATCTTCCCAAGGACACTGTCCAGTGCTCTGAGCCCCAATCTCCCCTCATGCCTGTCACCAAAGATCTTGCTATATAGCAGGCGACATGCAAATACAGCCCTCCCTCTGCTGATGAAAACCAGCCCAGCCCTGACCCTGCAGCTCTGAGAGAGGAGCCCAGCCCTGGGATGTTCAGGTGTTTGCATTTGGTAATCACAACTGAACACTGAGACTGAACTCACCATGGAGTTTGCGCTGAGCTGGGTTTTCCTTCTAGCTATTTTGAAAGGTAATTCATGGAGAAATAGAAAAATGAGTGTGAATGGACACTACTGAGATAAACAGTAAATCTGTGTAACAGTTTCTGACAAGAGTGTCTTTTTGTTTGTAG